TGATAGTGTTGGGAATTTTGGATTAGTGAAAAGAATTATTACCGTTACAATACCCGATGGAAGATTTACAACCTGCAAAGAAACCTCGCTTAGATATTGAGGAACAACATGAGTTAAACCACGTTGAAACTGGGAATAAATTAGATATTTCTGAATCTTTTAATATAAATGAAGGTAACATTATTTAGTTTAACCAAAGGAAAATTAATATATATATATATATATATATATATATATATATATATATATATGTAAATATATTATATATTAATCTTGAAGATAGAGTGAAAATCTCTGAACATAGGGATCTATCTAAATGAAGTTTTTCTCATAAAGAATTGTTTCAAACTTAAACAAACCTACGATGGAATCAAAAAAAAGTTATTGATAGGGATGATGATGTTAAAGCTCAATCTGGCAATGATTTACCGACGCATAAATGCACTGTTCAGGAAACGGATGTGGGCATAACGGAATTCTTGAATCCTGAGCTCAAAGGATTCTTGGGTGTTCTTAAATGGAGGTAAGTTGCCAAATTAATTTTTTTTTGAGCACTAAGAAATAATTGAAAAATTGTACACTTGTTTAATACATAGATACACTGATTTTCTCGTGAATGAAATTGATTTGGATGGAAACATACTAAGTTTTGATGCAGAAATAAAAGAGATAAATAATAATGATGCAAATAATATTGAGGAAAATGATTTGTATGAATCTCAAGGAGTTACACAAACTAAGAGTGGATCGTCGAGTAATATTAATGATTTTACGTTAGATAAGAATGACTCCTTAGTATGTTTAATAGATGTTTGTTTTTTAACTTGATCTCGTTAACTTGTGATAATATTAAGAGAGGCAAATTCTTTCTAGAATGATATTGAATCGGAGGAGAAATTATTTGATCAAGATTTAATGAATCAAATAAAAGATCTTGTAAAAGGCGAGGGGAAAGATCAGCAAAGATTTATAAAGTCGCAAGTTAGTTATTATCTTAAGAATTCATCATTCATCATGTTAATTTTTTATTTTATTTGCTTCTGTTTCTCAATAAATGCTCGCCATTTTTAGCCCATGTTAAATAAAGATGAACGGACCAAATTGCATAAATTTATCAATAAATATTATGGTGAACATTTAAACTCGACTACTACAAAAGAGCAAAGCATTTTGATAGCATATCACAACGAAAAAAGTAAAAAAGGCAAGTTACTTAATTTTGTCGCTTTACGAGTGAATTAGGTTTAGGTTGAATTGTAATTTTTGATTGATACCCGAAAGATTCAAGAAGATACGACGCGTCTAAAAAGAGGAAAATACAAAAAGAAGAATGGGAAAAACGCGGTGGTCAATATTGTCAGTTTTTATTACTAAAAGAGAATCGAGATACCATGTCTGCTATAAATCTAATAAGCAAACTAATGAAGTAAGTGTAATTTTATGTTTCTCCTTTTGATTTTTCGTATGGTTCGCTTAATTTGATGTGCATTATATAGGATCCCATCTCGATCATTCTCTTATGCTGGTACTAAGGATAATCGTGCGGTTACTGTTCAACGTATTACGGCTTTTCGAGTAAAAGCCGAAAGATTAGCTGGTCTCAATAAACGGTTAAATGGAATAGTAATGGGAAATTTCAAGTAAATTTTTGTACGCAATTGATTACTCGGACGAGAAGTCGCTGTTCTTGCGCTAAATGATATTATAATATGTTACAGATATGTATCACAACCGATACAGCTGGGTGAACTTGCAGGAAATCGTTTCATTATTACGATAAGGTGGAAAATAATAATGTCCAAACTCTATGTTGATAAGTAACTGTTAATAATTAATCACTTTGAAAACTTTAGACAAGTAAAAGTTGACTCGGAGGAAACGCTGTCGCAATCATTGAGTTCATTAAAAGATAATGGATTTATAAACTATTTTGGCATGCAGCGTTTTGGTACAAGTTCTATTCCAACATGGGAAATCGGACGTGCACTTTTGCAGAATAACCTGGAACAAGCCATCGATCTGATATTGAAACCACGACCCGGAGGTTACCTCATGAATTTATTAATTATCTTTGTCTATCAGTCAGTTCTGTTATTGATGTTACTTCACCATTTTTTTATTATAGAAAATGGTCCAATTGAAATTGCACGGAAGCATTGGGCAACCACCAAAAATGCTCGAGAATCATTTGAATTGATGCCTCCGCGTCATTACTCCGAAAGGAATATCTTACTAACCTTTGCCAATACTGGAAATACAAACTGTTTTGCCGACGCCTTTAATTCGGTATTTCTTATCAACAACAAACAGACATATACTTCGCATTTTGCTAAATTTTTTTTAAATTTTATAGATACCCCACAAATTAAGACTCATGTATGCTCATGCTTACCAGTCTTATATTTGGAATCGCGTGGTATCCGAGAGAATTAAACTACACGGAAGTAAATCTCCGTTGGTTGGAGATTTAGTTCTGACCGAAAATAAAATTCGATTGGATCAAGAAGATATTGATTTTCCCGACGCAGAGGCAGCTCAGACACTTGACAAAAAAAGATCTTTTGACAATATGGAAGAATCCACCGAATCTTTTGATGACACTAAATTTGCTTCCAATCTAACTGGTGAAGGGCCGAATGCGGCAATTAATTTAAAGGTATTTACTTGTCTTTAAACGTGTATTGAATTTTAATATTTATTTATTCTCATTTGACTTTGAGCAGATAAAAGTTCTCACAGAAGAAGACTTACCAAAGTACACCATAGAAGATGTAGTTTATCCTACGCCGGGTTATGCTGTTATTTACCCAAAAAACGCGATATTTGAAAGTTACAAAGAATTTATGATGGAAGATGGACTTGATCCTATGAACATGACAAGAAAAACAAAGTACGAGTATTTTTTCCATTCTTTATTGTCATAATAAATCACATCACAATGTATATTCTTATTTTTTTTTTTTTTAGAGATTTTTCCTTGCCCGGAACATATCGAAAAATTATTTTGAAACCTGAAGCAGTTAACTGGTTTGTATAACTTTAAAGCAAAACATTAAAATCAAAGAATTTACACGTCCAATAAGTACTGAGAAATTTCCATCGACCGACTCAGGTCAACGATTCGATATGACGATCCAATTGCTCAGTTGGTTATAACAGATTTTGATGTCCTGCACGGAAGGAAACCAAACATAGGTGTACCAGGTAAAACTTATATAATTATTAGTTTTCCGTCTTGAAAATAAATTTATTAAAATTCTCGTTTAATTATGTATATTCTTTTTGGAATTTTCAGATGGAAAACATTTGGCATTGCAAATCAGCTTTATCTTGCCGCCTGGAATTTATGCAACCATGGCGATACGAGAGATCATGAAAAAAGATACAAGCTCTGCTGCTCAATATAATTTGCAGATACAGACTTGAAATGCATATATTTTTCTGAGGCGAACGCTAAAATTCGATTATAGTGAATATTTCTTGCACAAAACTGCTTATTGATTAATTAATAATATCATCTCGAGTTAAAATAAAAAACAAGGCAAAAATTAACGTATTTCGAAATACATGAACCCGTATGCGTGCGGGCCAAATTATGGAAAAAGGTTTTTAATTTGAAAATTACTCCCCGACACGGAGTATAATAATTTTATCATGTGACGATCCGATTCACCACATATTATTTTTTATATTTACGCGTAGTCACAAGTACACCGTCTACAATTACAACAATGACAGAAAAGGTACAGGCAGAAAGAAATGCAGAAAATAGCTCAATCTTTCTTATCATGTTTCTTCCTGATTTTACTTCCATCGAATATTTGTTATTGTGAGCTATGATAGACTGCAAAGTTTTATAATACATAGAACAATTTGGTCACGAAGCCTTCTTAATTATCTAAATATAACCATATACGTGAACTTTGAAGACTCGCACAAGCTTCAAGCCTTCTTCTTCCTCTTCTACGGGAGGGCGATCAAATAATATCGATAAAAGAATCTCATACTCATCTGCCGCTATAAAAGACTTAACAAATATTGGGTCTTTGTCTCTACAATTACAAGAATATGCCATAATAGAAGACTTATTATTTGTTATGATGGTAAGATTAAGGTTATATAGTTTGATTTCGAAATCTCGAAAGTTGGCTTAATGATCATTGAATATAATCTTGTGTTTTTTTAGGGGATCGAAGGCAAATATATATACGTGAGTCGTTCAAGTAATATGTCAAGTGATAAAGAAAATAGAATCAAGGGTGTTGAATATGTAGTAGATAAGTCTTTGGGTAATATTTTTTTATCTTTATATATTTTCCCATTTTAGCAAATAAAGCATAATATTTATAATGAATCCATGATTTTGACAGACATCTCTTTAAAAGAATTAACTGAGCGGATTATACCACTTGCAACATATTACACTTCAATTGATGCATTTATAGAAATGTATTCAGCTTTTGAGTATGGATTTGTCAACCATGCATTATGTGCTGCTATCAAAGGATTATTAAAGGTAATTAAATCTATTATAAACATTATGCTAAGCAGTCGATTTTATATATTATCTATAATTATTTATATCTTGTTCAGGAATATTTAATACTTATCACGCAATTAGAGCATCAATTTCGAACATCGCCCTCATTTACCCTTCAGAAATTCTGGTTTCACGTGCATCCCACTTTGCACACAATGTCCAATATACATTCATTGGTGATGGAGATTCATGAAGTCGGACAAGAAGCATTGGAATCAGAAGATGATGAAATGTTAATTCTAGAAGAATTTGCAAAAAAGAGCGCAATACCGGAACAAGTGAAAGGTGGTGGAATCCTTGGTATTTTGGCGGAGCGACTGACTACCATGAGTGGGTATGTTTTTTCGAGATTTAAGTTGTTATTATAATAATTCGGATATGTTTGTTTATACAACTATTTAATATTTGATAGAGATCCAGGCACAAAAAAGCTCTACATTTATTTATTGTCTAAAGCATCACAACCCTATGTATCAATGCTACACACTTGGATACACCACGGGGAAATCCAAGATCCCTATGAGGAGTTTATGATACAGGAACGGAAAAATGTCAGAAAAGAGAATCTCAAGGAAGATTTTAATGATTCTTACTGGGAACAAAGATACACACCACGAGAAGGTACAATACCACCTTTCTTGACGCCATTCAAGAATAAGATATTGTTGGCTGGTAAATACTTGAATGTCATTAGGGAATGTGGGATTCCCATTGAAGAGCCGAAGAAAGAAAATGATGATGAGAATAATGAAAAGTCAACATCTGTCGATAAAACAGATGTCAATGTGAATAGTGATGTTTTGTTGGCGATGGATGGCGGAAAGTTTGTATCTTTTTTCAATATTAAATACTACCTTAAGACTTTAAAAACAACATAATCATTTTAATTTTTTATTAGGCTTGTAGAGAGCATTGAGATAGCGTATAAACGTGCTAATCGTACTTTATTGGATCAACTGTTAAAAGGTCAACAGCTTCTTGCTCGATTAAGGTAAGTATTCATTAGTTACAATAATTGACTTGCACATAAAGCCTTCCTTTATTTATTTATTATTATCCTTCAAAAAGATCTATCAAACGATATTTCTTCCTTGACCAATCCGATTTTTTCACTCATTTCCTGGACCTTGCTTCCACTGAGCTCAAAAAACCTTCCAGTCAAGTATCTTTGACAAAACTGCAATCATTACTTGATTTAGTTCTACGCAATCCATCTTCAGTAGCGTACGCAGATCCATTTAAGGAAGACGTAAAGGTGGAAATGAGTTCAGTAGGATTAGTAGATCAGTTGCTCCGAATCATTAATGTTGCCGGAATGGCTGAACCACTTCCTACTTCGACCTTTAGTCGCGGCCCACGCGAAACTTTCAATATACGCAAGGAAAGTGGCCGAATTGGCGAGGAAATAGATGGCGATGGATATGAGGATGCAGATCGATTAGGTTATGCTCCTAGTCTGGCTGGTAGTGTGGCTAGCAGTTTGGCTGGAAGCATTACTGGCAGTAGTAATAGTGGCGGGGGTAAACAAGCTTTGACTGGTACGTTATAAGGTTATAAGATCTATGTTTTCGAAATATATCGTATTGATACGTATCGACTTGACTTTTTATATTTTGTCTAAATAATACACTTAACAAGGGATTGAAGCTTTATCATTGGACTACACAGTCACTTTTCCACTTTCGTTGGTTATATCACGCAAAGCACTTACAAAATATCAGCTGCTTTTCCGACATATACTCTACCTGAAGCACGTAGAACAAATCCTATGCAGCATTTGGACAGAGCATTTCAAGTCTTACCATTGGCGTGAAAGTAGCGGTCATCTGGGCATCGAAGCATGGAAGAATCGACTGTATGTCCTAAGGCAGCGCATGCTTGTATTTATCCAGCAATTTGCTTACTATGTCACTAACGAAGTATTGGAACCGCAATGGCGCACGTTGGAAGCTAATTTTGCAAAAGTAGATGAATTTTTGTTAGATACTTGAAGATATCAAAGTCGTTCCTTGAGAATTTACACATCTTATAATTCATGATTAGGTATCCACTGTAGACCAGGTACTCGAATACCATACCGATTTTTTAGATACATGTCTTAAAGAATGTATGTTGACAAATGCGAAACTATTACGAGTAAGTGATAAATAAGAATTTACTAAAATGTTTAAGATGTTATAAAAGATTAATCTATTTTTGCATCAAAATAATAATTCTCCAGATCTACTCAAAACTAGTCTACGTTTGTGTCTTATTCGCAAACTATACGGATAAATTCACGAAAAGTCTAATAAGCCTCAAGAATCAGCTAGCAGGAATAAATTCAAACACCGGCGGTAATAATAATACTAGTACAGTCTCATCACCCTCATTGCAAACAACCATTGAACAACAAGAGCGAACGCTATCTAAATTTGAAGATAATTTTGTATATCACGTCAGATTGCTGATTGACGCGTTGAATTTCTACTCAGCCACAGAAACTGTTCAGTTTTTGTGTTTGGTGGTTCGACTTGATTATAACCAACATTATAGCCAAAATAGTGTGGGTAGTGCAAAGATTCATTAATAACTATAATAAGTTAGGTATAGAGGACTTTTAAAGAATTTGGTCATTTCTGTATGAATAAGAAGAAAGCTTGATAAGCTTTCCAAAGTGATATATATATATATATATATATATTTATTCATATTTATATTTATATGAAGGACCGTTTTTAAAAAATTGACAAAATTTATTCTATTTCATCTCATAATAAATAATTATGAACAAAATGCTCTATAACATATTAATCTTTCCTTTGATTTCAATACGACTTTTGAAGCAGCAGCCACAAAATAGACCTCTCCCATTTCTATAGTTTTTTCCGAGTCTTTAGCTACTATCATAATGCCGGATCCTTCGGTCACAATTATAATACTAGGTCCATCAATCGGAGCAAAATGCTCTTCAATATCGCCAGCATGCAATTGTGTCAAAATTACAGAGAATTCGTCGATCGGTGGGTTATAGAGCAGCGAGTGCTTTGATGTTTGATATGATTCTGGTTGTAAAATCTGTGATTCAGCGCTGCCGTAGCGATAAGTTAACATGTTTACTAAGACATCCACATCTTTGAATTTAGGTGTTAGACCAGCGCGAACGACATTATCACTGGATGCCATGCATTCAACACAGTCTGTTGTTATAAAATAAAAATTAACAAATTATTGGATACGACGTAAATAAATCAGTAGAGAATTCGTAATATTCATACCTCCAGATAAATACGCGTGCGGTTCATTGGCGCCTAAAAAAATTGCTTGTCCAGGTTCTAATTTTACATAATTCAAGAAAAAGACACAAAAAATTCCCACATCACCAGGAAACTGTTGGTTTAAACGTACTACCAATTCCGAAACGGATCCTGACTCTAACTTTGATGGTTCGATTTCTTCCTTTAATCTCGTAGCTAATTTCTTGACTTGATTCGCAATAATATTAGCATCTTGTGTCATCAGGCATGTAAACAATTCTTTGAGCGCGACCTTATTGCGCTCAATATCCTCAGGAAATTGGGAAACAGTTTCGATGTAACGGTTAGCAATTTCGTCGTTTACCGTCTCTCTGAATTCAGGATAAACATTCAGGTAATCTGCGATTTCGTTTAATGAACGAAATCCGCACAAGGCTTCGAATGCCGTGATCGCTACAGCCATTTCAGGTTTATGATTGGGATCTGGAAGGCGGAAAATTTTATTGAAATTTAATTTCAAGAGATTTTTTAATTTTAGCTTAGATAAAACTTTGACCTTTATATATTTTTGGAAACCTTTCAAATAGTTCTCGAGCAAGTTTCTTATCAGGATGCGCTTGAATTGAGAGAGCTTTTGACACAGACAACACTTTGAACAAGAATGGCAGATCATTATCATATTGCTGGGAAATTTTTGAAGAAAGATAAAAATAAGGATTTTGTGCAATCGTATCTCTCAGCGATATGTTTGGATCTTTTACAAGAAGACTTGGTCCATTCGGATGAGTACCCATCCAAAGCTTATTTATCATTGTACAAAATTCGTCAATATATTTGTATTGATTTTTCTGTTAACCATAAAAATACAAACCTCTGCATAAGGCTTCGAATTATCAATTTTAAACCCATCGGGAGTTCTTGCAGCAAATTGAGCAACTTTACTTTCTTCACCCAACTTACCCCAATCATAATTTTGTACTGCACATTTCAATTGATAGACATTGGATAATATAAGATTTGACATGTTTAAAAAATTCGAAACCACCAAAGTCCTGTTAAATCTATAAAATCATTGGTGTTACATATACAAACTGGATTGTAACGGCAAAAATAATTTTTTAGAGTAATGGCAGAACCGACGATACGACAAACTACCAATCTGTCCATACATACTTCTCGTGACTCTTTAGAGCATAAAAAATGGTCTCCGTTACCTGAGAAAGAAGAAACCTCAATTTCTAGTTTAGCGTTACCTTTCCCGCCACCTTTAACTCGTGAGATGTTCGCAGCTGCTGATTTTAACTGTGATAAATTTCTCGCAAATCGGCGGCACTTGCCTCTTGATGAACTAAAACGTGAACTAAATGCACATTTAAAGAGTCTGAAAAATGAATTAGTTGAAATGATCAATAGAGATTATGCGAGCTTTGTTGATTTATCAACGAATTTGAAAGGAGTTGATAAGGTAATTGAGGAAATTTCTCAGCCTCTAGGGAAAATGCGAGGAGAAGTTCAGGCAGGTGTCTAAGCAATGTTCAATATCGAAAATCGGGATTCTTTGAAACAAGGAAAAATTGAATTAACACTTTATTCAATATTATCATACAGCAAGTTCGTTTCACACTTCAGGAGGTGGTAGACTCCCTAGAACAAAAATTGGCTCATCGCGCTTCAATTCGTGAAAAAAAGGTATTTTCTCAAAAACGATACATTGAATATAGATACAGTAAAATATGATAATCGTTTTCATTTATATAATTAATAGGCATGTTTACAACTCTTTATAAACATCTATGAATCAGTGCGCAAAGTGGAGGCATTGTTACTTATCAATAGTGACAATAGTGTGTCGTTGTCATCATCATCATCATCGGGAGATGACGAGAGGTAAAAAAAAGTGTAACATTGGTAAATAAAGTTCATTTTGTTTTGATTCTATTATTCTAATTTCATTTCATCTCAAGTCTTGAAAAAAACCATTACTATAAAGTGCTAATAGTGTCAAACAGATTGAACGTGTTGCCATTGAATATAATCAAATGCAATATCTTGTTAACAAAGGCAAAGGGTTGCCATTTGTGGCAAATATTGATTGGGTAAATAAATTTATAGTTAAAAATGAGCTTATTTTATATAAGCATTGTTCTTATAAAAACATATAATCTACCTTATAGCGAATAACGAGAATAAAAGACACTCTTCGCGCAAATTTAACTGCTGCGTTACGATCAGCATTACATCCAATGAAACTTGAAGCAAACTACGCTTCTTCAAAGGACACGTTAACTCAGATATTACGTACATATGCATTGATTGATCAGACTAAAGCAGCTGAAGAAGTTATACGTGAAGAATTAGTTAAACCTTTTGTTCAAGTGGTACGTAAATGTTAAAATTAAAAGACTCATTAAATGATGTTTATTCTATATTAATTATATATTTATTAGACGGTTACGCGACAATTCCTAGAAAAACCCCCTCAACCAATCTTGATTCATTCCGCTAATATCGAACCACTTTCTCAATTCATATCTTCTCCTACTTCAAGAACTTTTGCGCCACATGCCGTTCTTTCGTCCTCTAAAGATCCATTGGCTATTATGTATAATAAAGTGCTTGGCTTTATCAGCAATGACTGTTTCCTGCTTCTCGAAATTACTCGTAAGGTTCTTAAGGGAACAAGTTATGAGATATTGGTCAATTCTGTTTGGGTAGAAGTCATGGAGTCGATAATGAAAAAATTGTTGTTTATTTTTAATCCTGGAAATCCTAATGTGTTTCATAAGGTTTTTGTCTATTCGATTCTATTATCGATTATTTTCATTTTATTAATCTGTTTTTTTTTTTTTTACGTAGAACTATACAATATCAATGAACTTTGTATCAAGTATTGAGAACATGTGTTATTCTAAAAAGACACTAATATATCTACGAACGCATCCCACTTATTTGGAATTTATAAAGAGATGGCAACTAGCAGTCTATTTTCAACTACGGTAAATTACAAATTATATTCTCTAATTTTTTTTTAATTCTTATTTTCCATGACTTCTAAGATCATCATTTTTCTACATAGTTTCAGAGAAATATCTTTACAAGTTGAAAATACTTTGAGTTTGGGATTGATAATGTTAAATGAAGCAAACAATGAATCACATGGTTGGTTAGTTTATCTGGTTATATTGGTTTGAAAAATAATTCTAATTTAAGAGAATTTTTTAATAATAAAAAAAAGATTCATCATCTGAAATAAAGCTATCAGCTACAAAATCAATTATTGCAGCCATAGAACGGTGTTGGTCCGCTGACGTGTTCGTCTACGGGCTATCGCATCGTTTTTGGAAACTAACATTGCAGGTAATTAATTAACTTTCTTAATAAAAGCTTTTAAGATCCCGTTATCTAAAAATCGTTTTTTCCAGCTAATACAACGATACAAGAATTGGTTGTCATCAATGATTGGCGATTTAGGGGATTCTAATTCATCAACTAGTGAAAAGGTTCGTTAAGTAAGTTATCTTGCCTTTGATTAATGAAAGATCTGAATAGCTACCATCTTACTTTACTCAATGAACATATTGCATCTTCATTAAAAAAAACAGCCATTGACTCCCGCCACGATAAATTCTTCGTCGAATCGGACATTATCCAGTAGTTCAACGCCAAGCGCTGTTTCGACTAGTGAAGCACTAGAGGAACAGTTATTGAACCAGTTGACTGTGATTACTTTTGATATCGAAAATTTTATTACAAAGGTTTGAGCAGTCTTTTTTCCAAGAAAAATTGTTTATCAAATTATTATTAATCCGTTTCGGTTTGTTTATTAGATAAGGCAATTTTTTCGAGAAGTAATTATGATTCAGTTACCACCGCAGATGATGGACGAGCCATTAATAGAAGGTAAAAATTGTGAGTTAATAAAAGAACATCTTTATATTATTGTCTTGCGTTAAATTAATCGGCGAAAAAAATTCCAACGTTAGAGAGCATCAAAATCTCTCTATTATCAATTCAATCCGATATACCGGAAATTAGTCGTACAGTGACCACTATACTAATCAAGCGTTGTGCGGAATATTTACGACAAACGCGAGGAATAATCACCCAATATCGATACAAGAACAGAGAACCACCCACAGAATTCTCGTATTTTGTACCTACAATAATGAAACCACTTGTCATGTTTTGTGATTTGAATCAACACACATTGACAGAATCACGTCGAAGAGAATGGAATTTGATGGTTGCTGAAGGTGTCACAATGCGGTAGAGTGTCATTTCGATACTTGTTTTAACAAGGTAGAATAATTTTAACGGAATAATCGATATAATCAGATACTACAAGAACGTAAGTGAAACACTCGCAACATTCAAAAGAACTGAAGAAAGTCACAAATTCAAAAGGAATCGCGTTGCTGGAAATAATAATGACGCCTCAGCATCTATGAATGATGAAGATAAGATGAGATTACAAATCTTTTTGGATGTAAAACAGTTTGGTAAAGAGGTATGTACGCGTTTGGAGAATGTTAGTTTGGATTGCATTGCAATAATATACGTATTTTTTTTCTAGTTGGAAAATTTAGGAATTGTGCTTGCAGATGTTGCAAGTTATGCAGAGCTGTTCAAAGTTGTCGAGCCTTATGGTAAGTTTTTTGGTTAAAAACACGTTGCAATTCGACATTATTTTTATCAATTTCTATTTTGGAATTTTACAGAGACAATTGGAAGACAATAATGAAGTATTGTGTATTTATTATTACTTGTTAGAAACGTTATATTAATAGAAAAAATCAATATGCTTTTAATTTTAAATAAAGAAAATTACATACAATTGTTTGTAATTAATTATATATATAGTAACAATAAGTTTTATTTGACAATCAATGTTCAGTCATCTTTTTTATTATGTTCTTTTTTGCCGGTTTGACGAGTTTTATTATCGTCTTCTAAGGCGACACCATTATTATCAAATGTAGAAGGTTGTCCACCATTATAAATGTTTATCCATTCTATTGCTTTATCATATGAATGTCTACCAAATAAACGATACTATGTATATGTATGTATGTATGTATGTATGTATGTATGTACGTTAAAAATGAATGAATGAATAAGAATACATATTAGAAATCAATGACCAAATACCTGAATCGGAGTAACCATTCCAAAAAAGTAATTTTTCCAGGCTTTAAATCCGTATTTCAAAAATACTTCTTTACCAGTCGGCAAACACCCAATCTCCTTGGCTAAATGATCCATCATCCAAAGGAACGGTGTTTCGATGGTGTGTCTTGCAGAGCTATAGAAAGTTGTTTGAAGGAAATTTTGGTAATTCTCGATCCATTGGTCCATTACCTCCGTTGATGGTAGAGTTATATGACCTCCGATTATGCTAGTAGCGTAACGCGCTTGCATTTCACTAATTTGAAATGAGAATTTTATATAAATATATAATAATAAGCAAATAATAAAAAATAGATTATAATATTTACGCGACTGGAAATATAGGACCAAGAACCTGGACCAGTCCCAAAAACGCGATATTCTTATAACGCGGAGGAAACACCATTTTATACAACCAAGCCAAATTTTCACGATACTCTGGATCAAACTTTTCGAGATCTTGTTCACCTGTCAAAAGATCTCCGTCCAAAAATGGAAAAGAGATATCATATCCGGTACAATACACAATTACATCAATATCTTCAATCCTTGTCCCATCTACAAATTCGACGGATTTGTCTTGATTCAATTTAACGATATTTTGTTTCACGATAATAGTTCCGGTGGAAAGACGCTCAAAGAAATCGGATTTTATTGTTGGATGGTGTGCGTTAGCCGGATGTTTTGGTTTTAGACCGGGTGGGTATGATCCAAGTGTAATCTTGCTAAGTTGCTCCTGGATAAAATTGTACAGTTTACGAGGCAAGAAAGACGTAAAGCGGCTATTCAGGTGATCAATTGGAATACCGAATATTGTTAGACGGGGCAAAATCCACGGAAGCGTGCCTATATATATATATATATAAATGTTAATTGGTGTATACAAAGTTATTTATAAGTCAATATTATATTTACCTCGGCGAGCAACAAGGTATACTTGAGAAGCAACAGTACTCAACTCTACAGAAATATCCATTCCACTGTTACCACATCCAACGACAACTACGCGTTTATCTTCAAATCCTTTTGTGCTAAATATATTTTTTATTAATTAAATCGTATATTTTTAATCAACATGTTTGCAGATATTCAAACGCTCACTTTCGATAAAAATGTGAATGTATTTGTCGACCACCAAATTGATCCATTCCTTCATATTTCGGCCAACGATGTTTTCGATGATGACCGCTACAAACCATCACATAATCAAATATTTCTTCTTTCTCTTCCTCTCCTTCTGTCATGTATTTGACTTTCCATCGATCATCAGGTAGATTTGAAACATGTAATACACTTGTTCGGAATTTAATATATTGGTAAAGATTGAAGCGTTCTGCGTACATTTCGAAATATCTACAAATTATCAAATAACATACTTTAATTTAAATTGAACTAATAATAGAGCTGGACAAGATGGATAATTACACAAATAGTTTGGTTAATTACACACACCTTAATACTTGATGATGAGGTAAGTAAGTTGGCCAATCGTGAGGAATTGGATAATCGGAGAAGGTCATCTAATAGGTCTTATATTAATTGTGTTCTCTCTAATGATTTCAAATTACGTTTATATCACTTAGTTGTTCAAATACCGTTTCTTTAGAAGTATTGATAATTATTGACTTGAAAAGCGAAGAATATGGATCCTTATTCTTTTCATCGATTTCTTCATACTTCCATAATCCACCAACGTGAGGATTTTGTTCAAAGCAAACCGGTTCCAAATCGTCATCGATACATTGTTTCATGGCCGTTAAGCCGGAAGACCCTTTGCATAATAAACATCAAAAATCTCTTCCGAATCAGAATTAGGATTGAAGGACAACTTACCTGCTCCAATGACAGCGACTCGAGGTCTGCGATCACTCTCACTGCTACTAACGGCAGCATATTCATCATTTGCTGTTCCTAAGGTATTAATAGTAACCATGAAGGCTGCTAAAATTTTAAACGTTTATACAAGTCTTGTAATGAAAAAATTACAAGGTTAAAAACTCCCCATAGCGACAGGCTGATTAAAATTTTTTCTAGTGATCATATGATGCAGGGCGCAAAATTTGTATTTACCAAATCTTAAATCGAATTTTCTAAAAAATTCGATGAATTTCTATTGGCTTTTTTCACGCTTTTTTTTCATTTGTAGAATATTTAATTATACTAAGTATTCAATCACGAATATATAACCTGTCAGAATTCACAATTTGTTTGTCCGGCTTCATATTTTCTAAAAAGATATGTCTTTACTCAAAATATGGCTTTTATTACTTGCATATTACTTATATTGTAGTGATCTTGTCTTCTCCTATTATATTATAGAATTATGTTCATGTGAAACTAAAAAAAGGCAATGAGTATGACATGTATCAGCAAATGTAATTCTTGAAAAGCTTCTAATACTTATTAAATATTTTCTTCTATTCATAATTATGAAAGACAGATTGAATCAGTTTTCAGTTTATGAGAAATATTATAATAAAATTATTATAAAGGATGATTATTCACAATGATTAGAAAACTTTTCATATCAAGTTTCTTTTTTATTTAAAAATTATAATAGAAAATATAATCAACTTGCTATTAATAATGATAATTTAGATTATCAAATATCTTTTATATCTGATATTGAAATTCAAATTTCAATATCTGATTTATAAATAAGTAATCTATAATAATAATTAAATGAAACTCAAGAAACTTTATTAATATTACAAGCAAAAATGCAAGAATAATTAAATGAAATTTGATAACTAAGAAAAGAAAATAATCAATTATTATTAAAAAAACTAATAGCTTAAATAATAATAGAATGAATAATTTGTAACTCAAGAAGACTAGATTAATATTATCAAAAAAATAATTCAAAAAAAAGATATTTTTTTATGATAATATTAATGCTTTAATATCAAATAAATCATAATTTTCTTTGAATAATCTTTTAATTATTCATCTTTAACTTGATTATCTAAATAAAATCTAGTAATTATAAAATTTATTAAAATTCTTATTAATAATAATCAATATAAAAAAATAAAAATAAAGTTTTTTAAGCAAGCAATAATAATTGATATAATATATAGCTCTTATTATTTAAAGTATATTTTATTTATAAATCTTACTATTTTTGCAATAAAATATTTATTAGTAAAATCTAAAACTCTTATTAATATTAATAATCATATTATTAGTATTGATAATTTTATTAGATTTATTAATTAGCTAGAAAATCTGATTATAAAATAATAATTTCTTTTCTATTTTTATCTTTTAATAATAAATAAAAAGATTAAAAAAATTACTTAGATCAAGAATATAATATAGTTATATTTTATATTATTATAAGCTTCATTATTTTTTTATAATTATAATAATTATATTCAAACTAATATTAATTTCTAAATATACAGTATATCAAACTTTTAGAAAAATAATATGAAAAACTATTTAATTTAACTTTTAATATAAAAAATAAGATTTATAAAGAGCTTATTAAGTATCTTAAAATTTTTTGAATGAGCTTTATACTAGAAATAAATAAAATTAATAAGTTAATATAAAATTAAAAAGATTAATTAGAATATATAAAAAATATTCTATTTATTAAATATTAAATATGAATAATAAAAAATATATTTATTCTATATATTATATTAAAATAAATCAAAAATTTAATAAGATACTTAGCTTAGTTAATATTATAAATAATATTAAAAATTATTTATTATTTATTCATATAATTTTAAAAAATAAAAAAAAATAATTTTATAATTTGTTTAAATATTATATAATAATTAATATTAAATAATAGTATATATATATATATTATAATTATTTATCTTTAATTTGATAAATATTAATTTAAATTTAATAACTAATATTTAAAAAAATTTTGAATATATTAAGAAAATATTTAATATTAAAAATAATAATTATAAATAAATTATTATTATTTATAATAATATATCTTAATATCAGACTTAAAAAATTAAAAAAAACTTTTCTTAACTAATCTTAATTCCAAATATTCTTTATAAAGAGATAAATATATTAAAAGTATTTATTAAATTAAATTAATTAGTTTTATTTTTTATTATATTTTTATTTTTAGATTCATCTTTTTAAAAATATTAATATTAGAAATTTTACTTAATATCAAGAATATCAAACTAAAATTAGTTTCAGTTTTTTAAAAATATATTAATTATTACAAGTCTTAGAATTTAATATATAATATATATTATTATACAATAATTTCTAAATTAATATGATTATATATTATTTTTAAAAAAATTCTTCTATTAAAAATTATCTAATATAAGTTTAGAATCAAACTAATTTTATATTTAAATTAATATAAATAAATAAATATTTATTATTATAAGTTATTAATATAATAAAAAATAATATTATATTAATATATTATTTTTAAATTTTTTTTATCTACAAGTAATTATTAATTTTTATATTAAAATATATATAAATAGATTCTTTTTAAAATTTATAATCAGATAAATATTTGTTTTAATTTAATCTATTTAATAATATTTAATTTATTAATTAATTAAAATTATTAATAAAGAATAAATATTATATTTAAAATTTGAAATTCATAATTTAATTTAAAAAAACTCTAGTTTCTTGATCTAAATACTTAAATTAATATTAAAATCTTAATATAATACTTAAAAAATTAATAAAATATTTAAATTATTAATTTTTTCTATATTTTTATAATAATATTAATAAATTATATATATAATTATAATTAAATCTCTCTAAATATTCTAAATATAATATCTTTTTAAATATATAATTATACTTGATCTTATCATGTAAGATTATTTTATTAATAGTTATAAACAAGATAAAATATGATATACAGTGGTACCAGAAATTATTTGGAAAATTATTACGCGATAAAAATCATCTAATGCAGTGCAACCACAAGAGCAAATAAAAATTTAACACACGTGTAAACAGACTTCGTGCATTTCGGGAAACACATTGTTTTTTTTAACCACCTTTTTTCTTATATTTCTCACCAGCAACGACATCACAACATGGAATTATCGAACAAACAACGGCAACGTGAAGTAATTCTACATTTGTGGAATAATGGTGTAAGGACGGCCAGGGAAATACAGCAAAGAACAAACATT